CCTTCATGAAGATTAGAAAATGGAGTTTCATATTTGTTCATACTTGAAATCAATATACTATCTTCTCTTTTTTGGAGTTGTTGAATTATTTATCATGGAACTAGCAGAAAAAAATACGGATCAATTATTTTCAGGATTTCTTTCCAAGGAGCACACCAGTGCTGTGGATATTTTATTCGTATCAGCATGTTTTGAGTGGTAGCTATAATAATATATCATACCTAAACAAGTAAAGATTAAGCTAAAGCACCAAATGTCCGTAAAAATTACCGATGCAATTTAAAGTATTTTAACAATAAAGAGTAAAAAAAAATATACTCGAGTTTTTAATGACATATTTTTATTCCGAAGAAAAAAAGTATAAATTTTTATTTTAAAAAAAAGTGATATTTACAAATCAGCTACACATTGTGAGATCGACAGAAAGGACTAATTTTCGACGCAAATACATTATAAATCATGTACATGAAAATCAAAGATAAAAGGATAGCACTGAATGTGTTTTCATCAAACGAAGACGACAAATATAATATCCTTATACTCATTGTATATATACCTATTATCTCTGACAAAACTATGTAAATTCTTCAGGTGCTAATTTCCTAGATTTTGTCACATGTTGATGCCGATATGTTGCACAGCGCGATGAATGTGAAGTGTAAAAGAATGTGTAATGCACAGTTGTAGCATGTTCAAAACAAAATGTAATACTAGTCTATTCTTATTTATCATTAATTAATACCGGAGATTGTGTAAATATCTTACACACTCCATTGAATGTATTTCTTGTAAAATCCTTTCTATAAAATCGTAAATTTATAAATCGCTTATGAGTATGAGAAAAAAATTGAGATATAATTAAAAAAAAACAATTCAGACAGAATATTTCGTTATTTTAAAGATCTTTTATTCATAACTTTAAAAAAATGTTATCAATAAGGATTTTTTTTATCGATATGCAATATGTTATGCAATAAAAAATAACATCTGCATTTTCTAAAAATAAAATCACAGTCACCAATCATAGGCGCTTGGTTTCAGTTCAAATCGGCACACGATTGAAGGGCGTTATTCAATCATTTTTGAAGCTAGATCTCATCCGACACCGGTAAGAAAATTGTAGATATTGATTAAAATCAAGTGTGAACCGAGACACCCTCCTGAAATCTAAGGTGGCAACTGTCGTACCTTGGTTCTTGGTTCTTGGTTCTTTTTAATATACAGTAGATATGATATTTTTAAAACGTGATAATTTCAGCGATTTTTTATATTTATTTTAATGAGTGTATTCAGACACACCTAGAAAAACACATAATACACAAAATACACCATCCATGCACCTGAAACCAAGCGCCTATGTCACCTACAGCAAATCTTCATTTTGAAACACTAGTGAACACGTAATGAATTTATTATTAAAAATTATCACCAGTGCTGTAGTGCCTTAGGCTAATAAACTGAAACTGAAAGCAACGGATGTGACGATTTCTAATTAATGTAAAATGTAGAGGCGCCTATGAATTACACGTACAGGCTTGAGAGGTCAAACTTGTTCTATCTGCAAAGTTTTAATGATGTTAAAGAAAAAGAAAACTAGAAGCGAGTGCTGCTCGTAACTGCAAACTAGCTCTTAAAGGAACGCTGGGGCGAAGAGTAAAATTCGGACTGTGCACATTGCTCCAAATGAACTTTTTTCCATAATAACTTCCGGAAATGCAATTTAACACAAATATACAGTTTTTCCATAATTGTGGTATTGCTCTTTCCTGCCATAAACAAAGTAAACTTCAAAAATAAAAAAAAAGTGAGTTGCTTTAATCGAATTTGCTGAGAGATAGTAAATTTTACGCTCAGGCAAAAATCAGTATGAATTTTATCTTGACTTTAAAAACGTTTATTCATTTTTTGGCAGTCTGTTGAGTGAATATGTAAAATTTGTTCCAAAAATATTAATTGATAAATGTATTTCAAATTCCTAGCGTATAATACATGTAACGTGGAGAAATGCTTTGAATAAAAATATGTATGACTAAAATTCCAAGATATTAAATTTAACAAATGTGTAGATTTGTAAAACTTTCTATTAAATATCTTTAACCACAAGAAACAGTCTCCCATAAATCTTGTTTCTTTATGATCTTATGACCAGTTCTTAAATTGAATGTTTTATAATTTGCATTGTTTAATTTAAATATGTTATAAAAAATGTAATTGTAATAAATACTTTTGAATTGAGAGGTTATTACTGAACTTTTCTTAAAAGTCAACGAGTAACATACCTTATATAGCAACGTATATACGACATCATGTGATGCCACAGTCTCGAACCTTCAAACATATCCTCGTGCGGTTTGAAGAGGTGGATACAAGTTTTATTTTGAAGTAAATGTGTATCAAACAACTGTGCTCGCCCCTAGCGTTTGCCCTGTCAACATCTTACTTATTCCAATACAATAGGCAATTTAAATTCAAAATAATTCTAATGAATGTCAAATTGCAAACATTGCTTAGCGCGTTCCAGTACTTTCAGTACTTTGGTATTTTTGTTACATGTATATATGGAACGCCCCAATTAATTGCCTTAAGAATTCTTGTTGTGATAGAAATTCGTCATGTCTTATATCTTCAGACGAATATTAAAATGTAGGTACATGCATGATATACCTGTATGCTAGGAATTTCAATTAATGCATTTTAATGAGACACGTCTTTATTAAAAAAAACTCATCAGGTGTGTGTGTGGGGGGGGGGGGGGGGGGATATATTAGATGTCTGTGAATATAGCATTGTTTCACTGTTGCTAGAAAATACTAGCATTTCTTTATAATTACCAAACAATATGAATGTTGAAACACTTCTTTTTGTACATATAATACAATTTGCAGTGCATTATCTAATTATTGATAAATGGACAAAATGCAGATGAATGTGCATTATATACGAGTATTTTCATGTCTGCCATACCAAAAAATCTTAATCTACTTTTACAGGCCAGGCATTCATACCAGTGACTTCTTAAACAAACTAAATATTTTCCTAAGGCCAAAATAAAATTATTGTTTGTTTGGAATTGCCTCCCGTCTTATTGAAATGACCCCTCCTGAAAAAATTCAACTGGCTAAAACTGACTTATAATAAGATATTTTTGTCTGAAATTTAATCAAATTTTGGCTTGATCACATGTGCCACCCTAATACCTAACTAGAGTGGGGTCTGAGCAAAAATTGGGTTCTTGGTTGATGGGTGATTAATCTTTTACAAAAATCAGCAAAATAATGTTTTCTGCTTCTGGATATTTTTATAAACAGTTTTAAATTTAACTTCAATTTTGAAAAAAAAAATAATTTCATTCCCTCCCTACTGGGTCTGAAATCCCCCAGGCAGCAATTCCAAACAAACAATTTTTTAAGAATGGCCTCAATTCTGTGAAGTATGGAACGGTGAATTACATGTATTTCATTACCACTCATGAATAAATAATGATTGAGTTTGGATTATATAGATCTGAGTATGTATGGTTAATATAGGATTGTAACACATGCATATAAGTTTCACACACATTTGTGAATGTCTGGGGAAAAATCATATTACCTTGGTAGTGCATGTATATGCTACAAATAATTTCAACCTGGTCACTTGAAATGAAAACTTAATGAATATCAAGAACATGATGAATAATGCATCTGATAAAAGGTTTCAGCACTGACTGGTGTTTTAGGAGTTAAGGTTTAAGTTTACATTATCATTTTTTCTGTTATAATGCAAATGGTGAAAATAAACAATATTAAATAAATACAGCTTTCTACACCACAATGGCCTGCATGACAAGTTAAATTGGTTATAAATAATGAAGGAAGCCTCCAATATTTGCAGCCAATGGGAAATAACTCTTGCTCAATTTTCTTCTATTGAAAACAAAAACATTAAATGTTTTCAACAATTGTCACTACTGTATTTCATCTTTGTGTTGTTCACTATGTTAACTTTCACAAATTGATTTGTTCAGTTGTTAAATTTTCATTGTACTAACCCAGCATGAACACGTACACCTCATGTTGGGGGCTTTAGTGAAATAAAAAAGAAAGGATACGGCTATAGAAAAATAGAATATTGTGATTTTTTGAAGTAAAATGTAAAACTTAAAATTTAATTTAACTAATTTTCATTTTTTTTTTATTTATAATTTTAAAAAAAACCCTATTTTTATCTGTTTATCATGTTTATCATGTTAATAGTGAAAAATTATAATAAATAGCTAGCTAGGTCAATCTGGTACAAGTAAAGGGGATATATCAGCTGAGTTCTGTACATATTTACTCTCACCAAATGGACAGGTAATCCGTAACGATTCTGATTTATAAGGCTAGTAAGATTTTTCAAATCGTATGTTAATTGTGCATTGCACAAAACATCAGGATATGCAAATAATAAATAATCATAACAATGGCTACAGCCCATATCCGATTATACATGTTTTATGATACATTGTGTATATGGAATTTAACTGCTAAAAATATGTATAGGCAAAGAGATTTTTTCCTGACAATTATTCTCAATTCAGCCATTGTCAATCAGCTGATTGCTACAACATGTACAAGTACAACATGAAATTCTTCCGGGATGAAAGACTTTGAGTTTTACTTTACCGCAAACAAAATAGATCGTTAAGACAAATTAATAATTAATAGGAAGTAAACAATGATGATAATAACCATACATAATAATAATGCCTACCTTGCAATTTTTACACCGGCAAAAGTTTACATTAGTTTCAAGTCAAAGGTCGTTGTTAAAATGAAAGAACTACGTGCCCGACGTTAAGTTCTTTTCGACAATGTTTTACATTTCTGCAGGTGTCGTGAATTGATGTACCAATAAGCGAAACAATTTTGATATATTTCTATATTCTAACTGAAACAAATAATTCATTAAGTGGATAAAATTGATACACCATAATATGACAAATACATCGGGATCAGGAATACTAAAATGCAAATTCCATAAAACATGTCAGCGCCTATGTAAAGTAACGGAGTATATGGAAAACGTGCTCTGTTGAAAATCTAAGGCCAAACCATGGCGAAAATCAGTGCATCTGAACAGAAAATGTTGATGCTTCAGCATCAAATGAAGGAAAACAATTTGGATCTCGAATCCTTCGTCAAAGACATGAACAAATGGGAGGACAGCATAAAAGAAAAAGAGAAGAAATTGATAAGTGAAAAATCTGTGAATGGAAAGGTTTGTCGATAGTTAACATTACAGTATTTGACAGAGTGAATTTTAAAAGTATCACGCACTTACGGAAATGTGACCATAGTCGTAAACGTGTAGTTGACCATATAAGACCAGGGACCTATGTCCCTGATAATCATAATGCTGAAAAGACGCAGATCTAACTGCTAAAGGCACGGAAAATGTAAAAGTAAGACTGAGTAAGTTAATGTTAATATAGAGTATTTGCATATATACATGTACATACTCTACATTTACATTAACTTTCAATGCCTTTGTCTTAAGGTATGTAATGTAGTTACTAGAAAATGGTCAAAAACTCAAAATGCATATCAGATATAGAGACCCAGAAAAAAAATTCAGTGACCACTTATCCCAGAGGATGAGTATGACATCACACCCACTTCATCTGCGTCTGAATCAGAGGTGCATACATGTACAATATTTAGTTATTTAGAGTCAACGTTTCTCATGAAAACATTATCACTGGATATAAACAGAAGAAAATCATCCAAAAAAAAAATTCTCGTCACCATGGACAAGCAGATTATGACATCTACTTGTCCTCAGTCGATTTTAACTCATCCAGGAGGAGTGGTTTTTTTTTCGCACCCTGAGATTCACACTGTTGCTCTCACAGAAAGTATATGTACTATCAGTCACAGTTTTTTATGACAGACTTTCATATCCATATTGGGATCAATGTACATGTATTGAGATGCCAAGGGGGGTATTACATTGGAAATAACCAAGAACATTATTGTATTGATTGTATTGGGTAATGAAGAAAAAAATTATCAGCAATAAACATTTTAAATTTTAATGTCATTAATGAATGAAAGATGAATTTTTATTTGTCAGGATTTGCCTCCTATAAGAAACAGTTTGAAAATAAAGAAGAAAAAGAAAGTGAAACCACAGAAGGATGATGACATTCAGGGGAGAAAACCTCGCAAGAGAATCAGTGGTTATGACTACCGTTCCTGGGATAAATTGGACATTGTAAGTTGATTGATGGGATGTGATCAAATCCATAAGGGCACCAAACAGAACATACTAAAAAATAAAAATATTATTTTTTTCCCCAGGAATTACCAATATTTCCCATCATTCTGGGCTGGGAAATATGAGTATTTCTGGATTTTTGTAAACCCTGGATAACAAGTATATGTATGATAAATAAGTCAACTGATTCTGATGTTGATGAAGCCTTGTACTAGACATTAGATTCATAAACATCTAAAATGCCTTAAGTTTAGCAGATTTTAAATAAATATCTTCATATTAAAAACCTCTTATTGAAATTGTCAACTCTCTCCTTTTCAAATTTCTTAATTGATAAATTATTTTGATAAAAAGGATACTCATCCTCACATATGAGTGAATTACATGATTTTTAGGATAAAATGTGTGATGACGTTGATAAAACAGAGAAGTCTGACTCGTCTGAGTACGAGACGGATGAAGAATGGGAGGCAGAGAGAAGGAAACAACAAGCTGCCATGGAGAAAGATGCAGTAAGACCTTACCTAACGCATTGCAAACTTAACAGGAAAAAAGTACAAAAGAAAGCAAAAAATCCTTTTTTTATGAATTATTTGAATCCTGTAAATTGTATGCTGAGTTAGAAAAAATATCAATCTTATTAGAAGAAAATAAATTTACGCCTTATTTTATACAAGAAGTTTTTCTGTTTAATGCCTTTTGTGAAGAATATAAAATATTAAAGACACTGATTTGTAATAGAAACCTCAATTTAGCATGTGTATTTATTTTATTTTTTTTTTTATTTTTTTTTTTTTTTTACATTTTTCAGTGAATGGAGACATTAATGTTGAATTAGATATACTACATCCTTTCTTTTCTTTAGGGAAATGATTACTTCAAGCGAGGGGACTATACAAATGCCATTGAGTCTTACACAAAAGGAATGGGATTGGATCCCACTAATCCTATACTACCAGCCAACAGAGCTATGGCTCTCCTGAAGGAACAGAAGTTAGAATTTTTCTAAATCATAAACATAAAAAGTTCAATTATTTGAAACAATGTCTGAAACAGAGTCTTTACCAATCAATAACCACTTACCATTTACACACAGATGCACAGCTCACATATTTCCTTCTTCCTCCAGCATTTTCAGAGTTTAATTGGGACTTTTCCTGCAACAAAAAATTGGACTGCTTGTTACTGTTCCATGATGTTCTACCATCATTTTGCCTTTTTCCAATGAGGCAACTACCTTTATTCTGAAATTCATTTCTATTCAGTGAAGCAAAATATTTGTCACAATTTTGCATATGTACGGAAGCCCATTTAGGACCTATCAAAATATATTTTCGAATTCAATATAACGAATTGTAGAATTTGTTATAATGAATTCAATTCATTATATAAATTTCTTTGAATTCGATATAATGAATTTAATCTATTATAACAGACTTCTTGAATTCAGTATAACAAATTCCAAAGTTTGTTATAACGAATTAAATTCATTTAAACGAATTCTCAAATTTGTTGTAACAAATTTAATTTGTTATGGCGAATTAAAAAATTTGTTATTATAGAATTAAATTCGTTAAATCAATTCAGCAATCAGGGACTATAGAAAAATATGTATGAATTCAATATAATGATTTGTCAAATTCGTTTTAACGAATTTAAATCGTTATAACAAATTAGAGAATTCCGTACATATGAAATGAATGTTATACATATGTAATCCCTAATTTGAAGTTCTAGATAGTTTCATGTTTTTGCAACATTTTACAGAGATATGACTACAAAGGCCTCTAAGTGACCTCTAAAATTTAGGTGCAAGCTGGAGCCTTATCAAAAGAATTTAGTCTCCAATACAAATTTTTAGTCGCCAGGCAATTTTTTAAGTGCCAACTTTAAAAGTTAATGCTAAACAATATAAGGACCCATGTATGCATGTAACTCTTAATATTCATACATTTTTAATTGATCATTTCCTTTTAAGGAACTTGGACTGCAGGAAATATTATTTAAAACTAAAATAGTATAGAGGATTTTTTACATGCGTATTGATTAACATGATCGTCCTACAAGGACAGTGTAACACTAAGTCTAATACATGTAGACTATATCTCTAATGAGTAAGAATTTAATTGGCAAGCAAATGACCACATCACTAGCCCGTTTGATTTACTTTATTTGATAATATTTGATTTACTGAAGCAAACAGTTACCTGGGGCAGTTATTGCCTTATCTAGTCTATCTGAGCTGTGTGTGCACTAATGTGACTTGAAATTTTGTTCACACATATGATTACTAAAAATACAAAAAGGTTACTAAGGAAACAGGACATGTCCATTGCTAAAAATAATTTCCTCTTCTCTTAAATTTCTTTTCGCTTCTTCAGAAAACTAAAATTTGTTAAAATGTTAAAAGTTCCGGAATTTGACGATCGCCAAGTCAATTTAAAATGGTCGCCAATTTGGCGACTTAAGGAAAAAATTTTAGGTGCCAATCAAAAATTTTAGGTGCTGTGGCGACTGAATTAGTCGCCAGTTAGAGCCCTGTTATATGTATTGTTTGTAAATTACAATGTACTAAATTTTGACCCGCTTTTGCAGTTAAAATTTTTAGATAAGTTTGAAATATTCATATATCATGATAGATTTGAAATTTTCATTAACAATCAATTGATTTTATTGTTGTAACATGTCCACCAAATTTGGATATAACATGATGTTAAGCAAAAAGTTATAACAGAAGTCCACAAAATTTTCAAACAACCTTGTATGTTTGAAATGAAACACTCTTCCACAATGTTTCCAACTATAAAGCTGTCTGTTTTTAAAACTTTTTGAACACATGCATATTCAATCAATGTATTGCTTTAATACAAGCAGTATACTTTTTCTGTTTAGTTAAATTTATATACAGTCAAACCTTGTTATCTCAAACTAGATGGGACCAAAGAAAAACTTCAAGATATCTGAATATTCGAGAAATTAAGGGTTAATTTCTTAAAGAATAAGTAGATGGGACTTCCCATTCACTTCGACATATCCATGGTATTTGAGATATCAGTTATCGGGAGACCAAAGTTCAACTGTATTTTAAATATATCCTACAAGATGTGTTCCGATATCATACTAACACTTAATGAGTATTAATTTTTATTACACTATCATAGGTATGCAGCTGCTGAGGTTGACTGCATGACGGCCTTGACTTTGGACCCTTTATATGTGAAAGCTTACCTCAGACTGGGCGCCGCTCAGTTCTGCATGAAGAAGTTCGACAAAGCAAAAGACACGTTTGAAAAAGTCCTACAACTCGAACCTCAGAACAAACAGGCAAAGTTTGAGATCGAAAAAATTGAAAAGGTACGGTTCTTTTCATCCAGGTACGGTATATTTTACCAATTAATTTTCACAAATAAACAAATAAAATACTGTAGATTCCTTACTGTTTGCTAGGAATATATTATTGCAAAATTTTGTTAGAAGCACCATGCACAAGCTAAAAATTTATCTTCTTTTATTTTCATAGTGATCGAAATACAAGCAAAATCAAGATCAACCGTCCACTTGCTAATTCATGTTCTCGGGACATCTACAAGCCATTTCGCAATATTGTGAAATCACTTATTTTCACGGGTTTTTAATTTTCATTGTTTTCGAGATATGAAGAGACCCACAAATTCATGTCTACCACAAAATCTAAAATTCCATATATATAAATATACATGTCACTACACAATAATTCTCAAATCCCCCCAAACCCATATTTTTTCCTCAAACCTCGAAAATTTGACCCCGTGAAAAAATGTGATTTTACAGTATTTCATACTCATGTAAAATAAGGAATCTACATTACTTACATAAACCTTACACATCTTCCAGAATAACATTCAATAATAAACTTCATTTTTCTCATAAAAGAGAATAAAATGATTACATGAACTGGGCAAAGATTTTTGCATGATATTTCTAATAAAAATGCTGGGCTTTTTTTGATGTATTTTAAGCCACTGTTTAGTATAAAATGATTTAACTCACTGTGAAAAATACAAAGAGGCCTCTGAAATCAGTTAAACAATTTTTAAATGTTTTTAAGCTTAATTATTGACACTTTTACAGGAGATGAAGAAAGAACAAATGGTTACCCATGACAGTTTAGGTCCTGATGTAGGCCTCGTTAAACCAATTACAAAACCAGTGAATAAAAGGTCAAAGGTGAGATTCTAAGAGATATATTGTAGGAAATACAAGTTAAATACATGTTTATATTTTTAGAACTTTTATTCACCAGATCATGCGTAACTGTCAAGAGGGAGAACTGCTCTTACCAGTGAAATTAGTTACAGAATTCCATTTATTTTTAGCTCTAATGGTCAGAGGCTAGAAAAGCTTTATATATGTTGGTAGGGTGTCTGCTGTCTGTACATGTATGTCTGTCTTTATATTTGTAAACAATTTTTCAAAATGCTTCTTCCCCTACAGTTTTAGTGTATTAAATTCTATGAAAATTTGTGCAAAGAAGACTGTACAAAGATACATAATTTGCATTACCAGTTTTTTTTTATGTTGATGTATAGCCATGGCTACTAAAATAGAAAAACAATGTATCTGGATTTTTTTTTTTTTTTTGAAAATGCAGCACCACTTAAAGTTTTACATGTAGTCTGATTTAAAAAAAAAAATGTGCATATTGACAAATGGTAATTCTGTGTTTTACTTGCATGTAAGTTAGATTTTTTTGTTTTTGTCCAATCTTATTAAAACATGTTTTGCTTGACATACTACTTCTCCTTCATCATTATGTAACTGGTAGTAGGCTCAACCAAGATCATGATACTCTTTATTGGTGTTGCCATGATTACTAAGGTTCAAGCCCATTTGCTACAATTTCTCTTCTTTTAATACATGTACAAGTAAATGACATGTACAAATGAGTGGCACTTTAGTCTTGTCAAAGTTATCTGGTTTTGTTAAAACTGATAAATCTGTAAGTTGCAACTTAAGAATGGTATAAATATTTGAAGCATTAATTTTTTAAAATGTACTTGCCATGCTTTCAAAGATATTTAAAGGAAAATTTTATATGAATGTCAAATGTAAATCATGAACTGACATTAATTTTCATTTCATTAGCAACACATCAGTACCAGATGAAATATCAATGCATTATTTCAGAAACCATTGAGGAGGTTAGAGATTGAAGAAGTGGATATCGAGGAGACAGATATTAGGCAAGCAGCCAGATCTCGAGTTGAGGAAAGCCACAGTACACAAAGGAAAGAAACAGAATCCAGGGACAATCAAATGTTTGCTAAATTCACAAGTCCAGGCATGATAAATGCTGGATCCACCCAACAAACTGTGCAAGAATCTACACCTGTGATAAATAGTGATATTTCAACTAAATCTCAGACTGAACAACAGCTGGATTTATCAAGTGTTCAGAATGAGGCTAAAACATCCATTAGCCCCAGATCAGAGGGAAAGTCAGTGTCACCCAGAGGCTTTTCCGTCCCAGCTTCCTCATTCCAATTTCAGGCTGATTACAAAGTGCTGAAGAAAGACACCACTGCTTTTTATAATTATTTGAAAGTAAAAGACTTAGTTTGTAATAAGGATATGTAATCATTGAAACTGATTCCCCCAGATATTTAAAGAATACCAAGTTCTTTAATTTAATGAAATGCATGCAATCTTTTAAAGAATATGAGTCAATAGATTATGTAATGTAATGAGTAATATCACCAATGTTTTGAACTGTATACATGTACTGAGCTGTAATCGCTATATGTAAATCATTTACTATTTACTATGTTACAGAAAATAGACCCTTCCCTATACCCCAAGCTGTTTGGAGAATGTTTAGATGCAGAAATTTTGATGAAGATGTTATCAGTATTTCAGAAGTGCTTCATATCGTAAGTTAAACTTACATATTTGGTCAGTATTAGTAAATTAATCAGAGTTTTGTTTAAATTTTGTTTGAAAACTGTGTTAAAGTCAGACTCTATTCTTTTCAACTGGAAAAAGACTGTTCTCAACCACAAAATCAAAATACACTAAATACATGAGCAGAATATCCTCTCACTAGCAGTATTGCAAAAAGATTATCATGCAATGTTAAATATATGCACATTATGCTTTTTTTTGGCTTTTTTGTTTGGGCCTTTTTTAAAAGTTTGGTTATCTTTTGGTTAGGTTAACTTTGTAATTGAAATATTTGTTTGCAGTGTAGATGTTGATAGAAAAAAAAAAAAATCAACCATCCAAAGTAATAATTAATTGATCTTCATCTTATGCTGTTCAATTGAGCATGATAATTTTCTTTAAATATGATGATTACAGTACATTGCTTAAAAATAACTAGTATTATTTAATTAAAAAAAGAGAGGGTTTTTAGCAGCCTGCTTTTTGTACTGTCTTTAAATGCTATGTTTACTGATTTTGGGTGTTTTTCGTTTATACAAGATTTGTACTTGCATGTGTAAACTACTACATGCAACATTAAATCACAATGATTGCATTAAAGTAAGAATATAGACAAGTCATCATTCAAAGAATGCACGTTAAAATGTAAGCATTAGGTATCATATATTCTACTTCACTGTGTTTTAAATAAAACAGCCTGTCAGGGAGTTATACAGATTTTCTCTGTATGCACGATTTCATGAATTATTCAGTTTGAACAATTAAATAAAGAACCAGGAGGATCTATGAAACAGTTCAATGCAAAAATAATCATTCTATACCTTAAATGAAATATTAAAAAGGTAAAGAAAAAAAGAAAAGGATTCAAACCCTAACTACATTTGTAGCACATTATGTGGAATCAAGTTCTTTTCTTGTTAAAATCTGGACATTGTTTGTAAATGTCTCAATGAATAATTTTTTTTCTCTTTAACAAATCTCACATACAATGTACATGTAATGATCTTTGTTTTGTAGTGCTGGTGAAGACTATTTCCCTCACATGAGTAAACTGACAGAAGTGAAAAGGTTTGGAATGACGGTTATGTTTTTCTCAAGGAAAGAAAAGCAAGGTAAAGTATACTACCACATTTGCACTTGTACAATTTTGTATATCACATGTATACAAGGACAGATGTGCATACACACATAAAAGATTGAAAAAATACCTTCAAATATTTAGTTGCTTGATGGCGTTTTGTATACATCAAGGGCTGAATATAAATTTATTTTATATTTATTCTTGATTTAATTGAAAAGAAAAAGTAAAGGTGCAAGTAAAGGGTTTTCTCTCAAATTCTTACAGAATACATGTACATTTAACACTAATAAGTCTCTAATTTTTTTTAACAAAATATTGCTAAATAGATTGTGATTGTCCATATTGATTTGGACAATATACTTGGAGTTATTTCTTAGATGATTTTTTTTTACATAATTTTCTTGTATGTCTGCAGTTTTGTTTTGTTTTGTTTTTTTTTTTTTTGAAAGTGAAATTGAAATTTCTTCCATTTGAAAATTTAACATTATTAAAATTTTAATTGCAGTGTTGCAGCATTTGTTTGACAATCTAAAAGAGAATGGAACAATTTCAGAAAAAGATCTGAAGCAACTTAAAACAAAGTACGAGATGAGCTGACGAATTGCAGTACACAATCCATCTTTTAATGTTTTTTTTCCCTGAAAGTAAAGATTTTAGTTAATTTCTTTTTTTGCTATTCAGACACAGTGTGACAAAATGACAATTCAAATTGAAACACTGTAAAAGATAAACTATGTTTGAATAAATGTTGCATATTCAATTCAAAAAGAAATACGTAAGAAGAACTTTAAATATTTGTCATTTTCATTTTTTCAATGTTGCGTATTTTTTGAGAATGTATGTGTATATAGAATTCTAAAATTACAAAATGAATAAATCCATGCTACTTATTAATTAATGAAGCTGTAAACACTAACAAAAAGTGCTTTTTGGACTTGGAGAAAAATATATCATATAAAGATATGCATATTGAGACTATTTAGTTCATGTTCAACATAGGGTACCTGCCTTATTTCCACAGGAAAAATGTTCAAAGACAATGGACTATTCGTGAACAGAAATCACTGTAGTTAACTTACATTGGAAAAATTAATGGAAATAATGAATGCAATTACTTATTCTAGGTCTAATATAATGCTAAGAATATTTTAATCTATTACAAATTGTGTAATGAACTGTAAATAACCATTTTTTAAAAATCTTACTTCTAAGGACAGATCAATCTAACTGCAAAAACCTACCCTACAAGTAGAACTCTTTAGTGTGCAGTGTTTAGAGCTTCCTTAACAAAAGTATTGATTGATAGCACAATTAGATGCTTGCATTGGCTATAGACGAAAGTTTTTCATTGGCTTTACAGTGACTGACAGGTACAGAAATTCTTCTAGTGCCTACGGTAACTGTCATAAGTCATTAATTTGACTTCATAGTCTTTCAGTATCTGCATTGGTTCTGCAGTAAGACTTCCAATGTCTAAATATCTGTACATGAAGTCATTCAATGCCTGCAATGGATATCCATAGTTTTTCAATGTTTACATTGCTTCTTCATGAAGTCTTTCATTAGCTAGAAAGTCGTGCATTGCCTTGAATGAAATAGTCCTAAAAATAACTGGTTTATAGTGCTTAGATGAAAGCAGTCTCTGCTCTGGATTCTTGTATAAAGGCAATTCTCAGAATGTGCAGAGTTTCTAAATAAATCGTTCCTCAGTTTTACAATAGTTGAACCAGTTTTATTAATCATTCTAAGTATTGGGGGTATCAAAGAAGGCATTGTTTTGTAAAATAAGTAAAATACATGAATATTCCATTTTTGATCGCACTGATGAATTGTAACAAATCTGAACTAGATGCACATGGACCACAACGTTTACTGAGTTCCTATGGCCCTGCTATTCTTCATAAGCAGATTTTTCCTCATGTATTCCTATGAAAAACTTTGATTGCGCATTGTGACCCCACCCTAACCTGGGGACCATGATTTAAACAAATTTGAATCTGCACTACCGGAGGATGCTTCCGTATGAATATGACTAATCATGGCTTTGCTGTTCCTGAGAGGAAGATTTTTAAAGATGCTTCCCTTTATATTCCTATGTAAAACTGTGATTGCCTGTTGTAGCTCTGACCTAAACCCCCCCCCCCCCCCCGGTCATGATTTGAACAAACTTGAATTTCACAACCTGAGGATTCTGCTATATGAATTTTTACGGCTATTCTGTTCTTCAAAAGAGATTTTTTAAAAAAAATTCTATATATATAAAATATATATAAAGATTTTCCTATATATATTCCTATGTAACAATTTGACCACATATTATGGTCTTACCCTACCTTCAGTGCTTATGATCTGAATTTACATTATCCGAGGATACCTCGAAATAAATATGACTATCATGGCTTTGCTGTTCTTCTGAGGAAGACTTATGATTTTTCAATTTATTCTTATGAAAATATTTGAATGCCCATTGTGCCCTCACCCTACCCCCAGGGGTCCTGATTTGAACAAACTTGATTCTACACTATATACATTGTAGCGAAGCTTGCACAAAAATTTCAACTCTTCTAGCCTAGTGGTTCTTAAGATGATTTTTCCTCTATTTTTATATAAAACTTTGATTGCCCATTGTAGCTCCAACCTCCTCCGGGGTTCATGATTTAAACAAACTTGGCTACACTTCCTGAAGATGCTTCCACGTAAGTTTCGTCTTCTTATGCCAAAGTTTTTCTACTATCATACAAATATTGGACTCTGGTTAAAAGTCTCATAAGTATGGGTATGCCTGAGTGAACGTCTCATTAATATAAAGAATATATAAATGTTAATATTCTATAAATAACTATTTCTTGTTAGTAAGGAACAGATGATCAAATACTAAATTATTATTTAGCATTGATTATTAATGTGAAACCTCAGAATGAAACGATGAGTATTGTAAAGTCTAGCACAGATTTTATTTCAATATAAAGTTTTGAAAATGATCATTTAATTATCTATTCTGATTAATATCACCAATACTGTCTTATTTGTCAGATTAAAAAGGTTCTTGGAGATTTATTTATATTGTTCAATTAATTTTTTTTTGACTATGCCTTGTTTTATGAGACTTTGAATGGTCCCACAAATGATTTTTATCTAAAGTATAGCTACATAATGTTTTTGGGGACTTTTTCTTGTACTAATATAGAATGTTTTATGAGACTATGAGAATAGTCCAATAAATGTGATTGGTACATGTACCGGTGTATTTTACTTCTGATGTTTTGTGAGACAATTGTTTCGTAGTACTATGCAGTGTTTAATGAGACTTTGAGTACTACGTCACATTGTTACCACATCAAAGGAAGTAACCGAGATCGCTTCTCTTCCACGCTAAAGTCGGTCAACTGCAACATATATCGCCGACGTATTACGGGTTTATTTAAGGAATAACTGTCTTATTTTTTGGATTCATGATGTGATCAATCGAGTGGCTTGCGTGATAATTTGCATAAACGCCGAAGGCGTTTATGCATAAAATTATCACGCAAGCCAATCGATTGATCATCGTCATGAATCCAAAAAATAAGACAGTTATTCCTTATATTTACATGCTCCTGATTCTGCAAATTCCCGTGCTAATAGCCCCGCTTCTGTCTCTATTTGTCCCGCCCCGCACGTGATTTTTTTTTAACCGCTCCTATCGATGAACCAGTAGATTTATGTAGAAATAAAGTATTTTTACAATTTGTAATTTTATCTCGGACAAAGACATTGAAAATGTAAATATAAAAGGGGACAGACAGGCCATCCGTTCTTTTATTGAATATTTCTTGCACAAATTTTGAACAATTGAAAATAGAGCAGTATGCTTTTTTAGAGTCCATAATAATTGAAGTAATGCCATTATATTCATGTATATATATGCCACATAAAATGTTTTGCCTGATCAAGCTGGATGTTTCTGTACTAGTCCTGGTCGTTCTGGGATTGTAGTAGTTTGTTTCAAATCACTGTTGAAAATAGTGATTTTTCTTTGAAAAAAATATATTCCGTGTATGTATTAAACCATGAACTGAAGGACTTTAGAACTGCGTACATAGATCTACATGTATACCCCAAACTATCATGCGCGGATTTAGAGGGGGTCGGAGGTGGTCCAGACCCCCCCCCCCCCCGGAATTTGCAGAGATATTAAATTTATATACTAAACCAAATAAAAAATGGATCTGTGTTAAGTTGGTATGAAAAGGTACACATATCAACGACTCACCCCCACCCACCCACACACACACACGAAATAGGTTTTTGACGTTTGGGCCGCGATTTTACGTTACGAATACTTCTGCCAAGAAGGTAATCCGTATTCATAATTGTCAATAATTATGTCAAAATGCTAAATTAGTATTTGTACATATCTTTGCTTAGAAAAGAGAAACGCATGTATGATAGCTTTTTTCTTCTCTTTCTCTTTCCCTCTCTAAGAAAACGTTTCAGTGGCTGCATACCGTCATGTATTTCAGTCTGTTGTATCATTATTGTACGTGTGAAAAATAAATATATGATCTACTATTTTCATTTATTTTGATATTTTGACAAGATGGTTTAGCCTACGGTCTACATGTCATATACGCGAATCAAAAATGAAATCATATAAATTACAAATCAATTTATCAGTAGGCAAAGTTTAAGTTCATTCTCATTGCTCATACACGACAGACTGCCGCAGGTTTTTTGATAAGGGTTTTTTTTAACAATACTGTGTATAACGTAAAAGAGACACATTTTCGCAATCCTTTATAAAACTGAGAATGCAGGGAGTACATGTATGTATACCCATAACAAGGAACACAATACGTACTGAGTACTGCGTACGTAGAGATTTTGCAAACATCCTCCATTGTGTGTGTGTATGTTAGGGGGTAGAAAGGAGACAGGTGCGATTTCAGCAACTGTGGGACACTTTTATCACATATTAGTACAGTGTTTATTAATAATTATGCGATACATTTTTTTCTTAGATCTTATGTGTGTTTTCTTACTTTATATGCTTGAATTAACTAATACGACGTTTAGAGAAAATGGCTTCATAAATATTTATCACAAATTCGTACTTGAAATGGAGTATTTATCTTGTTTTAAATCCATCAAACTATAAAAACCAATTGATATTATTCCACGTCTTTGATGTGTTACATGCAGCATAGACTCGAGTAATTGGCGTCAAAAAGTGGGGGGGGGGGGCTCTCATTTCAGTCCGATTCATTTTTATCCCTTCAAGTATGTTAACTAACGGGCACATAATATAACCCCCCCCCCCGGCCACTTTTTTATGGAACCCTAAATGGCAGTTTTCTTTAGCCCCCCCCCCCCCAACCTTTTCACAAAAAAGTTTTTTCACTGTTATTATTTTATAATGTATTGAAATTTTCATTCGGAGGCCTGTTTCACCAAAGTCACCTCCACAAATTTTCTTTACAGTCCAATGTGAACTCTTCCATGTTATTGTGCCTAAAAGTGACGAATATGAGAAAAGAAACCCCTTCTCTGCCCAATTCTTAATTTTGAGTTCTTTGAAATTTCCTATTTTTAGGTCACCTGAGTCACTCGGGTGACCTATTGCTATCTGTTTTCGTCCGTCGTCGTCCGTCGTCCGTCGTGTGTTAACATTTGAACATTTTAAGCTTCTTCTCTGAAACCGCTGATTCAGAACCAATTTCAGCCAATTTTAGCATATGGCATCTATGTGTAAAGGGGAACAAAAATTGTGAATTTCATGGTCCCAGCCCCCCTGGGGCCTGAGGGGTGGGGCT